GACTCCCAGATGTGCAAAGCAAAACGCTCCTGGGAGCGTCACGCTGCACGGAGCCCTGTAAGAACGCCAGCGCCGCTCACGCTGGCATTTCTGCCCTCAAACAGCTGCTGCTTACTGCAGAGCCGTGACCAAAGCCTTTCACCGCTTCCACGTCGATGGAGACCGATGAAAGTCTCGTACTATATCCCCACCCTAACTTTCACTTACCTTAAAATACAAGAATCAGGCCGGCGCCGCGGCTCACTAGGCTAATCCTCTGCCTGCAGCGCCGGCACACCGGGTTCTAGTCCCGGTTGCCCCTCTTCCAGGCCAGCTCTCTGCTGTGGCCCGGGAGGGCAGTGGAGGATGGCCCAGGTGCTTGGGCCCTGCACCCGCAGGGGAGACCAGGAGGAAGCACCTGGCTCCTGCCTTCGGATCAGCGCAGCGCACTGGGGCCGTAGTGGCCATTTGGGGGATGAACCTACAGAAGGAAGACCTTTCTCTCTCTCTCTCTCTCTAACTCTGCCTGTCAAAAAAAAAAAAAAGTACAAGAATTAACTTCCAAACCCAAGCGTATCCCAGTTAATGAGAATGAAGGTGGAGAACCCACTACTGAGAACACGGCATCTGCCAGGGAAGCAGGATTGAGAAGAGGGAGGTTTTCTCCAAACACAGCGCCCAACGGCTGTAGGGTTTCCAGGAGCTCGGCGTCCAGCGTGCCGCGTGCCTCGGCCGTGGCCAAAGCCAGTGGATCTGTGACCGGGTCCCTGGGGTTTCTGAGGCGTCTCCTCCCTTCCCTGCCACGGCTTAAGGCACACGAGAGATGCGAAGTGTAGCTGTGTACAGAACACCAGTGACCATCAAGCAACTCCTCACGTGGAAAGACCGTGGGAGAGAGCAGGGTCTAAGAACTGGCTGGGACGTTACAGAACAGTCTGCTTTTCAAACATCCGTTCTTGGGGTCAGTTTATTCGGCACCCGAGAGCCACGAGAGCCCAGGGCCTCGAGACCAGATGTGCCCACGGAACAGCACAGCGCAGGGACACTGCCTGGTGACACTCCTCTCGCCCAGAGCCACACCACGGCCTCGGGGGACTTCCTTCTGGGCCTGTGTGGGCACCGACACAGCAGGGAGCCCACTGAACGTTCTGCCTACTCCCCAGTCTATCGCCAGCTGAGTGGAGGCGGCGAACGGCTTCGCTGCTGCCAAAAATGCACCACTGCTCTTTGCCTTTGTTTCCCACAAGGCGAAACGGCATCGCTTAGGCAGGCAGCCGGGGACCACGAGCAGGACGGAAGGGGCCGTGTGACGCCGGGGCTGCCTGCCACCGCTCAGCTGCACGCACTCTCCACTCCTGCTGCTGCTTCTACATTTGTGAAGCGGGAAGACACCACCGAGGACCAGAAACGCCACTCCAGGCACCGCCCGCGTGGCGCTCCGGCTTTCAGGAAGCACTTCCCCCGTCAGGGAGGCCGCCCGCCCCGCATGGGGCAGGCCCGGCCCCTGCCCTGGTTTTGCTCCTGCGGGCTCTGGGCTGTGTGTGACCAACGGCCCGATGTGAACCTGCCGACCCGAGGTCTGGCTTCCAGGACGGCGCAAGGCCCTGCTGAGACCCTGGGGCCCAGCAGGTGAACTTGTCCTGACATTCACCTTGGGGAACACAAGGCACTTGCCGCCCGTCCCGGGAGCCTGGGGGAAGCAGGCGCCTAAGCAGTGTCTAAGTTGTGGGATGTGGTTACAGCCCTTCCCACGTGCCCACTCAACTACAGTCTTGCTTCTTACCCGTTAAACTTCTGATCTGGTGGAGCATAAAGCCCGTGGCTGTAATGTAAACTTAAGATGTTATCTCAAAAACTTAAAAAACAGGAAAGAAAAAAAAAGGAGAGAGGGAGGAAGGAGGGAATATCATAATCTTGAGTTGTATCTATGATCTATATTGAATGTTTAAAAAAAAAAACAGGAGAGAACGAGAAAGGGGGAGGGTTGTGGGTGGGAGGGAAGTCACGGGGGGGGGGGGAGGAAGCCAATGTAATCCATAAGCTGTACTTTGGAAATCTATATTCATGAAATAAAAGTAAAAAACAACAACAACAACAGAAAATGGGGGCCGGCGCCATGACTCACTTGGTTAATCCTCTGCCTGTGGCGCCGGCATCCCATATGGGTGCTGGGTTCTAGCCCAGGTTGCCCCTCTTCCAGACCAGCTCTCTGCTGTGGCCTGGGAATGCAGTGGAGGATGGCCCAAGTGCTTGGGCCCTGCACCCCATGGAAGACCAGAAGCACCTGGCTCCTGCCTTCGGATCAGCGCAGAACCGGCTGCAGCGGCCATTTGGGGGGTGAACCAATGGAAGGAAGACCTTTCTCTCTCTCTCACTGTCTGTAACTCTGTCAAAAAAATAAAATAACTGCTACTGCAGTACTACTTGAATGTTGGCTATAAGACAATTCACCGACCTGCCTACCTACCCTCTCTCAAACGGTACACAGCGGCGTGAAACGGCTTCTGCCACCACGCCCACGTCCTGAGTGTCAGCTGTGGCCGTGGGCCAGCGCCATCACTGCACGGGGTCCCTGAGGGAGGCACTGTCTGGACTGGGGCAGCGCCTGAGGAACCCTGTGCCACGCCCCCAGAAAACCAGCGGCTCAATACAGACTTGACGGAGTGCGTCAGCTTCTGAGTCAATTCAAGGAACAGTAGCACGTCACAATGAAATCCTTCGGCCTTTACCTCACCCCAGCACCGGGGTTAGTATCTACAACACACACTGGGCACCCAATACAAGCACCGGCTCTGCTCGACGCCAAGAGAGCTTTGCACCCATCTAGTTTTCTAAAAGAACCCAGTCCTGGTTTCAGCACTCCCTTCGGGGTTACTGGAATCTATCTTATCAAATCTTGAGCTAAATCCTACGTCCTTATTGTTCTTAAGTAATTAGTATGATTCCCCACTCCCCTGGCTGGAATTAACAAGATTTAACACCATCAAATCCAACGAAATCAGATTCTGTGACGTACCAGGTTTCTCTAAAGAAGCAAACAGCCAGCCCTTTGTCCTTATCGGAATCTTGCCTGAAGCTTGGGGGAGCATCCATCGTCTGAGTGGCTACAGCAGACCCGTAACCACCCAAACTCACGCACTTCTCAGAACCGCTTCGTGTGAAACAGGCGTTTCGGAAGCGAAGCACTGCGGACCAAGAGCAGGCGATTTACTGAAGACTAAGCCCCTGCCGGACACAGGTGGGGCCGGTGCACAGCAAGGTTTGGCCTCTCTGCTTTCTCTCCACCACCGTCTACACCGAAACCGAATGACTCCAGTATCAGAAACTGTGTCCCACTGAATAGTCACTCCCCTAACTCTTCATTATGAGCTCTGATTAAAACAGAAGTGAAAAATTAACACAGACAGAAAATCCACTTTAAACACGTGCATAGGCCTGGGAGTCCCAAAGAATATGGGAATCCCACAAAATGTTTTTATTGCTTCTGGATTTGTATCAAGTGTTTTAATTCTCCCACTTATTTGCATGTAACTTTCTGTTCATTATGTGTCTAGATAAATCTCATCGAATTTAAACACTCAAGAGTATTAAGTGTTCTGGAATTTTAATGGGAAGCAGTGTTTAAGTAGGTACTGATATACGAAGAGTCTTAACTGGCTAACTACAATTAGCATTTCTCTGCTGAACAGCCCTCCATACTGGAAACTCGCTGTCAAACACAGAATTTGTGTCTGGCACAGTGTTCAGTAACTGCCTACCAACAGTACACAGTCAGAAGACGGCGTCCCGCTCCCCTTCTAACTCACGGCGTGGGCATCAGACTCCAGGCAGTGACGCTACCCAGTGTTTCTGCGGTAGCTCCGTAGAGACTGTCAGACAGGCTAAGGAGGGAGGCTACGTTTGGAGTTTCAAGTGAGCCGTACGACCCTCTGGAATGACTCCACGGGCTCTTTCCACGCGCAGCTAAGGACACAGGTCAAGCCCAGACGCCAGGCTTAGTCACAGCTCATGTCACTGGTGCAGGGCCAGAGGATAAACAGCTGTGGCCTCCCAGGACGTGCACGCTCAGATGTGACTACCCAGCCACAGACAGCACTTAAGCAAATAAGCATGGCTGTGTTCCAACGAAACTTTATTTACAGACACTACCATTTGAATTTCATGAAATGATTTTGTTAACCATTTAAAAATGTGAAGAACCACTCAGCTCACAGGCCACACAGAAACAGGCGTTGGGCTGGATCCGACAGGCGGGCAGGCTTCCTGGCCCCGGTCTAAATCTATGTTCTTTTTTGACACTCATTTATTTGCTGGCAATTAGTTCAACTTCTACTTCATTATTAAGTGAGAACAATACAAAATTTGCTTAAGGCTTTTGTCTAGACTGCTGGTGTATAAATTTTTAAGACAAAATTTTAAAACTAACTTAGGTCAAAATCAACTATGCTGTTAGAGGAACAAACTGGCCAAGTTCCTTTATTTCTTGACGTCACATCTGCACATCCACACGGCAGGAGGTGCCCCTTGTTTTCCCGACAGCATCTGGCTGCACTTCCAAGTGTAACACAGCAAGCGCAAGGTCACCTGGAAGTGTGCAGTTACACACCTCACATAAATTAAAGACGCTACACCACCATCGTGACAGCAAAGCGGTGATCTGAAGTTCTGTGACTCGATGCCTCCCGTCTGATGTACCCATCATTTAAAAACGGCCATTTGGGGAACAGGTCAGGGTATCAAGTATCTGCCATGAAACATTTGGCCTTTTCCTTTTTAAAAAATAATCCTCAAACGTTAAGCCTTTATCGAACTGTTTCATGGAAACACGTTATGGCAGCAAGAAACAAAGCTGCGAAGCGCTGTATTTTTAGCAACCTGGCTGATTTAAAACATTTGTTCAAAGAAGCAACATTGTCTTTATTAAAGCAAGATAGCTGAATGACATCTTTCTCTCCACATCAACCCATTAGGCTGCTTCCAAGTCACACCCCCCCTCAAAAAATCAGTCTGAGACTCACCGAGGTGTTTAACTCAAACCTATATTTGTCGTTTCTAGGATGCTGACCCACAGAGCGCGTTTGTGTTACACGCGTACCAACGCGGACAAAGGCAGAGAGCCACTGCACCCCACACGCGCCACGGCTCCTGTGCTAGCGTTCTCTAAAAAGAGACATTCACAGCCCCACGCCTCAGGAGGCGGCGATGCGATAAATACACGGTGGCTCGCTCTCCACAGCTACCTGTTGTAGGCCCTCTCTTTTTTGGACTTCTCCAGCGCCTTGTCCATGGTCTTCTCGTTCTCCCCCCGACACTTGGGACAGTACCACTTGCCCTTGGGTTTATGGTTGAGCCCCACGCACGAGAAGTGGAACCACTCGATGGGGCACTCGTCGTTGTCGCAGCCGATCATCTCTCCATAGGAGACCTGGTTGCACAGGCAGTACGTGGGCTCGTTCGGGTCGATGGGGAGGTCGGCGGGGGACGCGTCCCGCTCTGCTTTGGCCTTGGAGCGCTTCTTCTTCTTGGAGGTCTTCGCCTTCTTCTCCTTGGGTGTTCCCGCGGCGATGTCGTCGTGGTCGTGGTTGTTGGAAGCGTTCTCCCGGTTCTCGTTGTTGCGCTGCCGCCGGGACCGCTTGTTGTTCGGCTTCTCCGCCTGCGTGACTGTCTCGCTCTTGGACTTCTCCTGGCCGGCTTTGCCGCTGCTGCCGGCCGCGTCGCCGGCGTCCTGGTGGGCCTCGAGCAGGGCCACATGACTGTCCACCTGCCTGCTGCGGTTCTCCACCAGCTCCACCATCTGGCTCACAATCTGGATCTTCTCGTCGCCCAGCTCCTGGCTGCGGATCAGGGCTCTCTGGATGCAGTGCAGCACGCGCCTCTTCTGGGTGCCATCCGCCTCGCGCTTGAACTTCTCGTAGTAGTCATCCAGCTCCTTCAGGATCTCTGCAAGGGAAAACAGCACGGTTACACGGCCACACGCACACACGTGCCCTCTACTGACTTCTACAGAAGGAAGTGCGGGAGGGCGCTGGGCGCAGGGGTGAAGACGCTGCGTGGGGTCCCGCATCCCCTAGCAGAGCGCTGCTTCAACGCTCAGCCACTGTCTGATCCAGCTCCCCGGGAGCCCACGGAGACGGCTCCGTGGCTGGGTCCGTGCCACACTCACGGGAGACCCAGGCTGAGCTCCCAGCTCCTGGCTTCAGCCTGGCCCAACCCTGGCTGTTGGGGGCACTTGGTGAGTGAACCAGCAGATGGAAGATCTCTCTCTCTCTGCCTTTCAAATACAATACAATAAGTAAAAGGGTATTTCTGGCTTGCTTGTTTCGTGTACAGTAGCTGCAGGGCAGGTGCTGTAGTGCCACAAGGTAAGCAACCACTCTGGCTGCCCGCGTCTCCTCTCCGCCTGCCCGCGTCTCCTCTCTGCCTGCCCGCGTCTCCTCTCGCCTGCCCGCGTCTCCTCTCTGCCTGCTCCAGTCCTGGCTGCCCGCGTCTCCTCTCCGGCTGCCTGTGTCTCCTCTCCGCCTGCCCGCGTCTCCTCTCCACCTGCCCGCATCTCCTCTCCGCCTGCCCGCGTCTCCTCTCTGCCTGCTCCAGTCCTGGCTGCCCGCGTCTCCTCTCTGGCTGCGTCTCCTCTCTGCCTGCTCCAGTCCTGGCTGCCTGCGTCTCCTCTCCGGCTGCCTGTGTCTCCTCTCGCCTGCCCGCGTCTCCTCTCTGCCTGCTCCAGTCCTGGCTGCCCGCGTCTCCTCTCCGCCTGCCCGCGTCTCCTCTCTGCCTGCTCCAGTCCTGGCTGCTCTGCGCCCGAGGCAGGCAGCGCCCGTGGATGTGCCTGCAGAGCAGCAATGACGGCTCAGTGCCGGGTCCCTGCCACCCAGATGGAGCTCCGGGTCCCTGCTTCAGCCTGGCCCAGCCCTGGCTACTGCAGCCATTAGGGACCTGAACCAGGGAGTAGAAAATCACTTTTTCTCCAGCTCTCCCCACTGGCATTCTGCCTCTCAAAATAAGCAAGGCTTTCTAGTGTGGAAACCATAACCTCCAGGCCTTCTAGACACTTCCCTGCTGACCTGAACAGGATGGCCCGCGTCACGTTCAGCCAAGTGCCCTTAGGGACTCTGTGGTTCAGGAGTGTGGGTGACAAACACTCCAAGTAAGGCTTGCGCTCAAACTTTCACTTCTCATTAAACCAACACTGTCCTCCCCTTCTACCTCCATTCAAATGCTTCACCAATCATCGAAAGGCCTTTATTCTCTTTATTTGATTGGCCAGTATCTCGAATGCCTGCTAACTTGGACTGCAAATGCATGTATGCAAAGGCTCTCCACATTCAAAGACGGAGGTGAGCAGGACAAGGCCACGTGGTGCTCACTCAGCAGGTGCTTCGTACTACTGAAACGACAGCTTCTCCACGACACACCACACGAGCTCGCCCTTTAAACTAAGGGCAGACTTGACTGCTGGACTTGCTGCTTGATCCACAGCATCTCAGAGCTATTACAGTCGAGGGATCTCAACATACTGTCAGAAACCGAAACACCCTCAGTACCAAATGCACACCCCCTTGGATAGGTGGGAAGATGACGACTTGACTATGTGATTTAAAATGTAATCTAGCAAGTGCAATTAGGTAACTTCTCAAGAAACAAAAGGTGTTCTCTAACCTAACTCAGTGAACAAAGGAACTGAAGCCGGCACTAACGCTCACCGACTCGGCACACCCAAGTTTCCAGGCCAGTCTCAGAGTCTTGATTCTGAAGGCCAACTTCCCCACCTGTCACCACAGATGCGGAGCTCCTCACGTACCGTTACAAGTTGCAGGCAGTGTCATCTGGCTTACTCGGGGGTCACCTTTCTGAGACGATAGGAAGCCACCCCTCTACACTGCTACCCTAACACACAGCGTCTCTGCTCAAACACGCTTCCTTCCAGGCGAAGACGGACTCGGGGGGACAAACACGGTCCTACCACAACCACCGAGGAACACACCTGAGCCTGCATCTCTCAGATGCGGAAGCAAGGCCTCCATCCACAAAGCCAGGAGCCCACGCCAGCGCCACGTGGCCCACACTGTGCACCAGGCGCTCACACCGGCGCCACGTGGCCCACAATGCACACCAGGCACCCACACTGTGCACCAGGAGCCCACACTGTCCACCAGGCGCCCACACCGGCGCCACGTGGCCCACACTGTGCACCAGGCACTCACACCGGCACCATGAGCCCACACTGGCGCCACGTGGTCCACACCGGCACCACGTGGCCCACACTATCCACCAGGCACCCACACCGGCACCACGTGTCCACACTGGAGCCACGTGGCCCACACTGCGCACCATGAGGCCCACACTGTGCACCTGGCGCCCACACCGGCACCAGGAGCCCACACCAGCACCAGGAGCCCACACCGGCGCCACGTGGCCCTGCTCTCGCTGGCTGCACCACGGCTGCCAGTCACTGAAGTCTGTTAGGAAGCACTTCCCCTGGGACCCATTCTTCTGCTGTGACACTTGAGAAGTGGTTCAGCAACCTGGAACGCCCTCTGAAGTGACTGAAGTTACTGGGATGCGCTGCCGTGGCACAGGGGGTGAGGCTGGGAAGCCCGCGTTCAAGTCCCCGCTGCTCCACTCTCGACCCAGCTCCCTGCGGAAGGGCCAGGAACGCCGTGGAGGACGTCCACGCAGTCGGACCCCTGCACCACGTGGGAGACCGGACGAAGCCGATGCTACAGCCATCTGGGGAGTGGCCAGCGGACGGAAGGTCTCTCTCGCCTTCTCTGTCTGTAACTCTGCCTTTCAAATAAGTCAGATAAATAAAACTATTAAAGTTGTCGTAACACAAGCCAGTGGACTCGAGGCAACAACCCTGGTAACCAGGCCTGGCTCGCCTCACGTCCACGGCCCGGAGTCCGAAGGACAGCCCTGCCCCGGGCCTCGGGCCCCCCGACTCTGCCCAGCGCGGACAGCGCCGACCTCGCGCCTGGACGCCCGGGCCGGGCCCTCCCGCCACCACCCTGCGGGCCCGCCGCGCTGTCCGGCTCGCTGTCTTCCGTTACAGCCTCGGAGTGGACGCCCCAAGGGCACTCACGCTTCTCCAGTCACGCACGACCACACTCCCGAGTCAGTGCACAGGCGGCCGGAGCCTCCCGCAGCCCCGTCCCGCGGGTGACCGGGGCCACGAGAGCGGCGACAGCCGCAGGGCCGGCCCGCGGCCGCCGCCATGGCTCCGCGGCCGGAAGTGACCGAGCTCAGCCAGAGGAGGAGCCCCAGCGATCCCGGGACCGGCCTCCCGCCAATGGGGAGGGGAACAGCGCGCCACGCCTCGCGAGCCGTGGCCTATGGGGATCGCCGGGCTGGAGGGCGGGGGCCGCCGGGGCGCCAATCACAGCACAGGGCTCGCGAGCACGGCCCGCCCCAGCAGCGAGAAGGGCCAATCTGAGGCCGGAGGCCGGGCGACCCGAAGACATTCAAATCAACTCGACCTCCTCTCGCCACCCCGCCCCTCTCCAAAAGGGAAAAAAGGCAGCGGAAACACAGACCCGTGCCAATCTCCGCGCAAGGCCCGCCCCCGTCCGGCCCCACGGCCAATCGGCCTACAGCGACCTGATAAGGACATTCCACGGAAGCCGTCACGGCCAATCGCGACGAGGCCGGGGCGGAACGTTCCGCAGTATGCTAATCGGGCTCCTATAAAAGCCGCTGCGCAGCTACGTCTCCGGCAGAGCGCGCAGGGGCGCCTCGGCGGCGCGGCCTCCCTGCGCGATCGGAGCGAGCAGTAGCTCTCCACCCCCCCGCCCCAACGCTTCCGTTTCCCCGCTGCGCAGCCCTGTAAACAGGAGTAAACTCCGAGGACGGGCCGCGGCCCGAGCGGCAGCCCCTCGCGCGAAGTTTCCCCGGCGGGCGGCGGGGCCGCGGGCAGCGACCCACAGGTCGCCGCGGCCGGGCGCCTCCCCTTCCCCTCCGGCGCGCCCGCCGCCAGCAGCCCCGCGCCCGCCGCAGCCGGCGCCCCGCACTTTATGTAACAGCGGGCGGGGGGCCGCACGCGCCCCCCGAGGCCCGGCCCGGCCCCCGCCCCCGCAGCGCCGCCCCATCACTTCACTACAAAGAGCCGCCTCCTCGGGGCCCGGCTCTGCACACGGGGACCCCGGCGCGGCCGCGGCGGCCCCGGCCCTTTTGTTCCGCTGCCCCGGGGGGGTGGCCGCGCCGCCCCCGCCCGCCGCCCCCCGCCGCACCTTGGTACTTGGCGTCGATCTCCCGCATGAGCGAGACGTTCCGCTGCAGGTCGAACGGCAGGGACTCCACGGAGTCCAGGTAGTCCTCCACATAGTTGGCCAGGTGGGTCTGCTCCCCGTTGGCAGGACTCAACATGGTTCACCGCCCAGCTCCCCGGCGGCGCGGCGCGGCTTTCCGCTTCCTGCGCCCCCCGCCCCCCGCCGGAGAGCCCCGCAGCAATGCACAGCGCGCGCCCCCCGCCGGCTCCGGCCCGGCCCGGCCGCTACATCGGCCGGGGCCGCGGGGACCCCGGCGCCTGCGGGCGCGGGCCGCGGTGGCGGAGGCTCGCTCGCGGCCGCGCAGGCCCCCTCCCGGGCGGCGGGGCGGGCGCGTGCGGGCGGGCGCGCGCACACACGCCGGCGGCGGGAGAGGCCCGCGCAGGCAGCGGCCAGGGGCGCGCTCGCCGCCCGCCCGCCGCGCCGCACTTGTCCAACGTGGAAAACCCAAATACCAGTTTCAAACACTTGGGAAACATTCAGCCCCGCCGCGCAGCGCGCATGCGCCCCGCCCCCCGCCCGGCGGCCCCGCCCCCGCCGCATGCACGCCCCTCGCCGCCCCGGGCCCGGGGGGCGGCGGGGCCGCGAGGGGGCGGCGGCGGGGCGGGGGCCGCGAGGGGGCGGCGGCGGGGCCGCGGGCGGGGCGGGGGCCGCGAGGGGGCGGCGGCGGGCCCGCGGGCGGGGCGCGAACTTTACTAGGAGTTTGCGACTTGCGGGCACGGCTGCCGGGCGGCGCCGCACACACGCGCGGCGGCGGCCTGCCCCGCCGGAGACCCGCCCGGGACCGAGACCGCGGCCCGCGCCGACCTCACCTCCCTCTCCTCAAGCCCCTCAATCTCCACAGTCCCCGCCTCGCCGCGCGGCTTAAGTAGGGCCCGCGCCGAACTGGCAACGCCGACAGCCAATCCGCCCGCCGCCCTGACGGCAGGCGCCCAATCAGGACGGCGAGGGGGCGGGGCTACCGTGCCTCTTACAACTAGACAGCCTGGTCCTCCGGGAGGCGGAAGGAGGGGCGGGGCGAAGCCCGGGCGGAAGCGCCGGCGCGTGCGCACTGCTGGCTCGGGGCGGCCGCGAGCCCGCGCGGGGCCACCGGCCCTCCTGCGGCGGGACCACCATTCCCAGCAGCCTCGGCGGCTCCGCGCCTGCGCCGCGCCTCGCCGCGCCTCGCCGCCCTGCCTTTGTGTCGCCTCTCGGAGCTCAGTTTGGAGCGGTCTGGAAACAAAGGGGCCCGGGAGGGAATCTGCTCCCCGGGTCCAGCCGCCGAAGGGGGCAGGCGAGCGGGGGCGGCGCCTCCCCGGGACCCCTGCGTGTCCCGTCCCGGGCTTCGGAGGGCCTCTCCGCGCCTGCTCCGCTCGCTTGGACAGACAGCGGCCAGCTCCCCGGCCCTCGCTCGGCCCCGTCCGTCCCGCCGGGCCCCTCTCCCCGCCCGAAACTCCGGGACTTGGGGCTGTCCGAGAAGCCCGGGCGCCGAGCGGCCCCGTTGCCTAGACGACGGCCGGCAGCCCCGCCCACTTCCGGCCGAGGCCCCGCCCCTGGCGGCCGCGGCCCGGCCTTTGTCCGTCGCCTCCCGGCCGCCCGCCCGCCGAGCGCGCGCTGCCCGCCGTGCGGTCCGTGTCGCGAGCTGCGGGCCCGCGCGCCTCAGGCCGGGTGCGCGCGGCCGCGTGGGTCTTTCTCGGGGAGTCCGGCGGGTGCCCGTAGGGGGAATCGCGTGGCGGATGCGCCGCCCTCGACGTGAAGTGGTGGCGGTTTCTCGGGCGGGCGTTCGGGCGTGTGCGGCGCTGTGCGGTGTCAGGGTTGACGAGCGCCGCGCGTAGCCCGCGGGCGGTACAGCGTCTGGAAGCGGTCGCGCCCGACGGCCCCACGTGCCCTGCCTCAGGGCTGTGGTGCGTGGGGTTGGGGCTGTCCACGCGGGGAGGCTGCGGGAGGCGCCTGTCCTGGAGGCTCGGTCGGCCCCCGCCGGTGCGGCCCGCGCCCTCGGACACCCGGTCAGCCCCCGCCGGTGCGGCACTTGCCTGTCTGTCAGCCCCCGCCGGTGCGGCCCTGCTCTCGGACACCCGGTCAGCCCCCGCCGGTGCGGCCAGCGCCCTCGGACACCCGGTCAGCCCCCGCCGGTGCGGCCCTGCTCTCGGACACCCCGGTCAGCCCCTGAGGGTGTGGACAGTGCGGCCCGCGCCCGCGGACACCCGGTCAGCCCCCGCCGGTGCGGACAGTACGGCCCGGGCGTGAGGCACCTGCCTGTCAGCCCCCGCCGGTGCGGCCCGCGCCCTCGGACACCCGGTCAGCCCCCGACGGTGCGGCCCGCGCCCGCGGACACCCGGTCAGCCCCCGACGGTGCGGCCCGCGCCCGCGGACACCCTGGTCAGCCCCCGCCGGTGCGGCCAGCGCCCTCAGACACCCGGTCAGCCCCCGCCGGTGCGGCACTTGCCTGTCAGACCCCGCCGGTGCGGCCTTGCTCTCGGACACCCTGGTCAGCCCTCGACGGTGCGGCCAGCGCCCTCGGACACCCCGGTCAGCCCCCGAGGGTGTGGACAGTGCGGTCCCGGCCGTGAGGCACCTACCTGTCTGTCGGCCCCCGACGGTGCGGACAGTACGGCCCGGGCGTGAGGCACCTACCTGTCTGTCAGCCCCCGCCGGTGCGGCCCGCGCCCTCGGACACCCCGCCCAGCCCCCGAGGGTGTGGACAGTGCGGCCCGGGCGTGAGGCACCTGCCTGTCTGTCGGCCCCCGCCGGTGCGGCCCGCGCCCTCGACACCCGGTCAGCCCCCGCCGGTGGGGCCCGCGCCCTCGGACACCTGGTCGGCCCCCAACGGTGTGGACAGTGCGGCCCGCGCCCTCGGACACCCGCTCAGCCCCCGCCCGTGTGGCCCGCGCCCTCGGACACCGGTTGGCCCCGACGGCCTGCCTGCGATGCGCCCGCCCTGCCTCCTGGCCCTCCCAGGACAGGAGAACGTCCCCCTGGGTGTTTGCGGTGTCCTTGTTCGCGTCCTGAGCGGCGCCCTTCTCCCGGTGTCCGCCCAGGCACCTGGCCGTCCTCGGCTCCCAGGTTCGGCAGCAGGGAGCAGCCGGGCCTGGGGGACGCGGCACTGCGGGCGGCTCAGCCCCTGCGCCAGCCCCTGCGCCAGCCCCTGCAGTCCTTAGTTTTAATTCGCCAAGGAGGCAGGAGACAAGATTCGCAGGATCCTGTTTTTCGGCATATAGCTAAAAATCTTGCCAGTCACTTTTATTCAAGAGGTGAATATTCAGTGCGCAAGGGATCACGTTTTCACCATCATTAAATAATGCTTCATTGTTTTGGCGATTCCCAAAGCCTCACACAAGAACTGCTGCCAGCCAGGGCCTAAACACATGGCGCGCCTGGTTTTCTGCAGACAGGAGATAACTGCTGATTTAAAAGGCACAGTTGGGGCCGGCATTGTGATGCACTGAGTTAAACAGTACAGGAGACACTGGCTTCCAGTATGAGTGCCCTGGTGAGTCCCGGCTGCTCCACTTCTGACCCAGCTCCCTGCTAATGCGCCTGGGACAGCAGCAGAGGACGGCCGAGCGCTTGGGCCCTGCACCCGCGTGAGAGACCAGGATGGAGCTCCTGGCGTCTGCCTTCACGGCCAAGGCCATTGCAGGCATCTGCGGAGTAAGCCAGCAGATGGAGGGTCTCCCCTTCTCTCCATCTCTATGTCTTTCAAATGACTAATTTTTTTTTTTTTTTTTTTGACAGGCAGAGTGGACAGTGAGAGGGAGGCAGAGAGAAAGGTCTTCCTTTTGCCATTGGTTCACCCTCCAATGGCCGCCGCGGCCGGCGCACCGCGCTGATCCGAAGGCAGGAGCCAGGTGCTTCTCCTGGTCTCCCATGGGGTGCAGGACCCAAGCACTTGGGCCATCCTCCACTGCACTCCCTGGCCACAGCAGAGAGCTGGCCTGGAAGAGGGGCAACCGGGACAGAATCCGGCGCCCCGACCGGGACTAGAACCAGTGTGCCAGCGCCTCAAGGTGGAGGATTAGCCTAGTGAGCCGCGGCGCTGTCCTCAAATAACTAATGTTTAAAAAATATAAAAAAGAAAGGAAAAGCCACAGTTTTTTAATGGCCAATTCAGATAGACCAGCTATCCAGATTTGTGTGCAGGATTTGGACTTCAGTGTTACTGAACTTATTTGTAAAACTTAGACTTTTGCTCGTTCCTTGAATTCTGCATATTATCTCGGATTGCGTCCTGGATTTTTGTTTTACTGGCCCATCTGGGACCCTGGTCAGGAGTTTCTCTACCAGACATTCTACTGTGCAAGCTTCGTCTCAGCACAACAGGTGCACTTCGTGTTCAACAAGCCCTCGCCTTGAATTGAGTCAAGGCTACAGTGAGGGGTTCAAAAGGCTTTAGGGCCTAGAGTTCTGCGGGAGAGAACACACACATCAACTGACAGGACACAGTCACAAAACAGCATCAAGACAAGTCTTGGGCTGGCGGTGTGGACGTGAGAACACTCCAGAATGTAGAGAGATGGGAACCACGCGTGGTTAGCACTGGCTTGTGTGGTCTCCTGCCTGTACACAAAGGTTTTGATGTTTCAGCCTTAAACATGAGAACACGTTTGTACTACAGACAGAAATGCACAGTTAGACACCAGAATCTTGACAGCGTTTTTTAAGTACTATAGAAAGACACTGATTTTTCTCTGACTCATAATTTGCCTTTCAATAACTTACCAAGGCAAACCCAACAAAGAACCCAAGAACCTCAGAGCTGTTTGAACATTGCAAAACCAAGGGGATTTCTTTTTTTCTTTTCTTTTTCTTTCTTTCTTTCTTTCTTTTTTTTTTTTTTGGTAAGCACTGTTTTGAAAGATACTAATAGGGAGGCATTTTGAAAGTAATTTTCAGAATGTTTCATTTTCAAAACCTGGATGTTAAATAAGACTTTTACCCTTAAAATGAATCCCAAGTGAACATATCTTGTTAGCTACATGATAAATGGTAGTGTACTGGCTGTGGTCTTCCCCTCGGAGACACTAAAAGAAAACGTGGGTGCAGATGTGCTGCTGCAGGGACATCCAGGGGCTGTGTGCTGGGGTGGAAGTGTGTGTGTTGGGTGTACACTGTGTACTGGGAGACAGGCAGTGGTGTTGGGCTCACACTGTCTGTGGTACTAGGATGCGGACGTGGTATGTGGTGGGTGCACAATGTACTGAGCTATAGAACTGTTGTGTGTTGGGTGCATACTGTAACGGGATGCAGACAGTTGGGTGTACACACTGTACTAGAATGCAGATGTGTGGGTTGGGTATGCACTGCGTACTGGCATGCACACATGGTGTGTGTTGGGGTACACACTGTTCTGGGATCCAGACGCATGTTGGGTGTACACTGTGTATTGGGAGACAGTCGTGATGTGTGTTATCTGCACACTGTACTGGGATGAAGGTGTCTATTGGGACACACACTGTACTGGGATCCAGACATGTTGTATATTAGGCCCTCACTGTGCACTGAGGTGCAGACACTGTGTGTTGGGTGCACAGTGTACTGGGATATAGACATGGTTTGTTTTGGGGTGCTTACTGTACTGCAGACATGATGTGTTTTGGGGTGCACTCTGTGCTGGGATGCAGAGGTCGTATTTGTCCTATGCACCCTGTACTGGGGTGCAGATGTGATGTGTTTTGGGTGCACACAGAGTACTGGGATGCAGACGAGGTGTATGTTGGGTACCTGTTGTGTACTGGGATGCAGTTGTGGTGTGTGCTTTATGCACACTGTGCTGGGAGGCAGACATGATATGCTTTTGGTGTTCACTGCACTGGGATCATGATGTGTGTTGGGGCACACACTGTACTTGGATCCAGATGTATGTGTTGTGTGCACACTGTCCTGAGGTGTACACATGGTATGTGTTGAGTACACAGTGTAATGGGATGCACACGTGTGTTGCAGCACACACTGTCCTGAAATGCAGACATGGTATGTGTTGAGTACACAGTGTAATGGGATGCACACGTGTGTTGCAGCAACACTGTCCTGAGATGCAGATGTGGTGTGTGTTGGGTGCATAACGTATCATGAGGCAGAAATGGTGTGTGTTGGCCCCCACACTGGACTGGGTTGTAGAAGTGTGTGTGTGGTACACATGGTGTCCTGGATTGCACAAGCGGCGTTTGTTGGAGCACACACCAGACTGAGGTGCAGCGGTGGTTTGTGTTGGGTATACTGTATGTAGACGCAGACGTGGAATATGTTTGGGGAGCATGGTGCAGTAGGATGCAGATGTGGTATGGGCTGGGTGCCTACTGTGTACTTCGATGCAGTCGTGGTGTGTGCACACTGTACTGGGAAGCAGATGTGGTGTGTGTTGCACACTGTACTGGGATGGAGATTTGATTTGTGTTGGGTGTACGCGGTGCTGAGGTACACATGTGCTATGTGTTGGGTACATTGTGTACTGGATACAGATGAGCTGTAGTTCTGGTGGGCCACTGCGTACTGGGATGCATTTGAGGTGTATGCCAGGATGCCCAAAGTGTGCTGGGCTGCAGAGTTGGATTTTTATTAGATGTGTACTGTGTACTGGGTGCAGAAGTGTGTTGCATGCACACTGTGTTGGGGTGCAGATGTGTTTATTGGGGTGCACATTCTCCTGCGATGCAGACATGGGTGTGTGTTTAGGTACACACTCTACTTGGATGCAGAGTTGGTATGTGTTGGGGGCCCACCATGTATTGGGATGCAAAGTGGTGTGTGTTGGGTATTACTGTGTACTGTGATAGAGACATGGCATGTTTTGGGGTGCATGCTGTACTTGGATGCACAAATGGTGTGTGTTGGGGCACACACTGTACTGAGATGTGGACACTGTTGGGTGCACACTGTACTGGGATGCTGACAGGGTATATGTTGGGTGCCTACTGTGTACTGGAATGCAGTCATGTGTGTTGTATGCACACTGCATTGAGTGCAGACGTGGTTTGTGGTGTGTGCATAGTGTAATGGGATGCAGATATTGTGTGTTGGGGTGTACACTGTAGTGGGATGTATTCGAGGTGTGTGCTGAGTCCACACTGTACTGGGATGCTGATGTAGTGTGTCTTAGGTGTACGCTGTGTGAAAGGATGCGAAGGTGGTGTGTGTTGGGTGTGTATACTGTACATGGAAAAAGATGTGTATATTGGTGCCCACACGACTGTGTGTTGTGTGCACTCAGTGTCCTGGGATGCACACATGTGAGTATTGGGGCACACACGGCTCTAGGATGCACAGGTGGTCTGTGTTGGGTGCACACTGTGTCCTGGGTTGGACATGTGGTGTGTGTTGGATCACACTCTGTACTGGGTTGCACAGATAGTGAGTGTTGGGTGCCCCCTGTGTCCTGGGTGGCACAGGTGGTGCGTGCTGGGTGCATACTGTGTACTGGGTGGCACAGGTGGTGTGTGCTGGTGCACACTGTGCTGGGTTGGACAGGTGGTGAGTGGTGGGTGTACACTGTGTCCTGGGTTGGACAGGTGGTGTGTTCGGTGTACACTGTGTTTTGGGTTGCAGAGGTGGTGAGTGTTGGGTGCCCCTGTGTCCTGGGTGCACAGATAGTGAGTGTTGGGTGCACACTGTGTGCTGGGTGGCACAGGTGGTGTGTGCTGGGTGCACACTGTGTACTGGGTGGCACAGGTGGTGTGTGCTGGGTGCACACTGTGTACTGGGTGGCACAGGTGGTGAGTGTTGGAAGCACACTGTGCTGGTTGCACTCGTGGTGTGTGTTGGGTGCACAGGTGGTGAGTGGTGGGTGTCCAGTGAATATAGGGTTGCAGAGGTGAGTGTTGGGTGCCCCTGTGTACTGGGTTACATTGGTAGTGTGTGCTTGGTGCCCCTCTGTCCTGGGTTGGACAGGCTGTGTGTTGGGTGCCCCTCTGTCCTGGGTTGGACAGGCTGTGTTGGGTGCCCCCTCTGTCCTGGGTTGGACAGGCTGTGTGTTGGGTGCCCCTCTGTCCTGGGTTGGACAGGCTGTGTTGGGTGCCCCTCTGTCCTGGGTTGGACAGGCTGTGTTGGGTGCCCCCTCTGTCCTGGGTTGGACAGGCTGTGTGTTGGGTGCCTCCTGTGTACTGAGTTGGACAGGCTGTGTGTTGGGTGCACACTGTGTTCTGGGTTGGACAGTTGGTGAGTGTTGGGTGCCTCCTCTGTCCTGGGTTGGACAGGCTGTGTTGGGTGCCCCCTCTGTCCTGGGTTGGACAGGCTGTGTGTTGGGTGCCCCTCTGTCCTGGGTTGGACAGGCTGTGTTGGGTGCCCCCTCTGTCCTGGGTTGGACAGGCTGTGTGTTGGGTGCCCCTCTGTCCTGGGTTGGACAGGCTGTGTGTTGGGTGCCCCTCTGTCCTGGGTTGGACAGGCTGTGTTGGGTGCCCCCTCTGTCCTGGGTTGGACAGGCTGTGTGTTGGGTGCCCCTCTGTCCTGGGTTGGACAGGCTGTGTTGGGTGCCCCTCTGTCCTGGGTTGGACAGGCTGTGTTGGGTGCCCCCTCTGTCCTGGGTTGGACAGGCTGTGTGTTGGGTGCCTCCTGTGTACTGAGTTGGACAGGCTGTGTGTTGGGTGCACACTGTGTTCTGGGTTGGACAGTTGGTGAGTGTTGGGTGCCTCCTCTGTCCTGGGTTGGACAGGCTGTGTGTTGGGTGCCTCCTGTGTACTGAGTTGGACAGTTGGTGAGTGTTGGGTGCACCTGTGTATTGGGTTGGACAGGTGGTACGTTTTGGGTGCACACTGTGTACTGGGTTGCCCACGTGGTGTGTGTTGGATGCACACTGTGTACTACTTGCACAGGTGGTGAGTGTGGGTTCACACTGTATACTGGGTTGCAGAGGTGGTGAGTGTTGGGTGCCCCTGTGTACTGGGTTGCACAGGTGGTCTGTGTAGGGTGCACACTGTGTACTGGGTTGCACATGTTGTGTGTGTTGGGTGCACACTGTGCTGGGTTGCACAGGTGGTGAGTGGTGGGTGTACACTGTGTCCTGGGTTGCACAGGTGGTGAGTGTTGGGTGTACACTGTGTCCTGGGTTGGACAGGTGATGTGTTGGGTGTACACTGTGTTTTGGGTTGCAGAGATGGTGAGTGTTGGGTGCCCCCTGTGTCCTGGGTTGCACAGGTGGTGAGTGTTGGGTGCACACTGTGTCCTGGGTTGCACAAGTGGTGAGTGTTTTGTGCACACTGTGTGCTTAGTTGCACAGGTGGTGAATGTTGGGTGCACACTGTGTGCTGGGTGGCACAGTTGGTGTGTGTTCTGTGCACACTCTGTACTGGGTGGCACAGTCGGTGTATGTTGGGTGCATACTGTGTACTGGGTGGCACAGTCGGTGTGTGTTGGGTGCACACTGTGTACTGGGTGGCAGTTGGTGTGTGTTGGGTGCATACTGTGTACTGGGTGGCACAGGTGGTGAGTGTTCTGTGCACACTGTGTACGGGGTGGCACAGGTGGTGTGTGCTGGGTGCACACTGTGTACTGGGTGGCACAGGTGGTGTGTGCTGGTGCACACTGTGCTGGGTTGGACAGGTGGTGAGTGGTGGGTGTACACTGTGTCCTGGGTGGCACAGGTGGTGAGTGGTGGGTGTACACTGTGTCCTGGGTTGGACAGGTGGTGTGTTCGGTGTACACTGTGTTTTGGGTTGCAGAGGTGGTGAGTGTTGGGTGCCCCTGTGTCCTGGGTTGCACAGATAGTGAGTGTTGGGTGCCCCCTGTGTCCTGGGTGGCACAGGTGGTGAGTGTTGTGTGCACACTGTGTACTGGGTGGCACAGGTGGTGAGTGTTGTGTGCACACTGTGTACGGGGTGGCACAGGTGGTGTGTGCTGGGTGCACACTGTGTACTGGGTGGCACAGGTGGTGAGTGTTGTGTGCACACTGTGTACTGGGTGGCACAGGTGGTGTGTGTTAGGAGCACACTGTGTCCTGGATTGGACAGGTGGTGAGTGTTGGGTGCCCCTGTATACTGGGTTGCACAGGTGGTCTGTGTAGGGTGCACACTATGTACTGGGTTACACAGGTGGTGAGTGTTGGATGCACACTGTGTACTGCGTTGCACATGTCGTGTGTGATGGGTGCACACTGTGCTGGGTTGCACAGGTGGTGAGTGGTGGGTGTCCAGTGTATACAGGGTTGCAGAGGTGAGTGTTGGGTGCCCCTGTGTATTGGGTTACATTGGTAGTGTGTGCTTAGTGCCCCCTGTGTCCTGGGTTGGACAGGTGGTGTGTGTTGGGTGCCCCTGTGTCCTGGGTGGGACAGGTGGTGAGTGTTGGGTGCCCCCCCTGTCCTGGGTGGGACAGGTGGTGAGTGTTGGGTGCCCCCTGTGTCCTGGGTGGGACGGGTGGTGAGTGTTGGGTGAATACTGTGTACTGGGTGGCACAGTCGGTGTGTGTTCTGTGCACACTGTGTACTGGGTGGCACAGTCAGTGTGTGTTGGGTGCACACTGTGTAGTGGGTGGCGCAGGTGGTGAGTGTCGGGTGCCCCCTGTGTCCTGGGTTGGACGGGTGGTGAGTGTCGGGTGCCCCCTGTGTCCTGGGTTGGACAGGTGGTGAGTGTCGGGTGCCCCCTGTGTCCTGGGTTGGACATGTGGTGTGTGTTGGGTGCCCCCTTCATCCTGGGTGGCACAGGTGGTGCGTGCTGGGTGCACTCTGTGTACTGGGTGGCACAGTCGGTGTGTGTTGGGTGCACACTGTGTGCTGGGTGGCACAGTCGGTGTGTGTTGGGTGCATACTGTGTGCTGGGTGGCAAAGGTGGTGAGTGTTTTGTGCACACTCTGTACTGGTTGCATGGGTGTTGAATGTTGGGTGCACACTGTGTACTGGGTTGCCCGCATGGTGAGTGTTGGGTGCACACCGTGTATTGGGTTGCCCACATGGTGTGTGTTGGATGCACACTGTGTACTGCTTGCACAGGTGGTGAGTGTTGGGTGCACACTGTGTACTGGGTTGCCCGCATGGTGAGTGTTGGGTGCACACTGTGTACTACTTGCACAGGTGGTGAGTGTGGGTTCACACTGTATACTGGGTTGCAGAGGTGGTGAGTGTTGGGTACCCTTGTGTACTGGGTGGCACAGGTGGTCTGTGTTGGGTGCACACTTTGTCCTGGGTTGGACAGGTGGTGAGTGTTGGGTGCACACTGTGTACTGGGTTGCACAGGTGGTGTGTTTTGTAGGGTGCACACTGTGAACTGGGTGGCTCAGGTGGGGTGTGTGTGCGGCGCACACCGTCCTGGGGTGCAGACGCGGGGTTTGTGGGGGGTACACACTGTCCTGGGGTGCAAACGCAGGGTGTGTGGGGACGCAATCTGTCCTGGGGTACAGACGTGGGGTCTTTGGGGGTACACACAGTCCTGGGTGCAGAGGTTGGTGTATGGGGCAGTGCACAGTGTCTTGGGGTGCAGACACGGGGTGTGTGTGGGGCGCATGCCACCCTGGGGTGCAGACGCGGGGTGTGTATGGGGGCGCACAGTGTCCTGGGGTGCAGACACGGGGTGTGTGGGGCACGCACGCCGTCCTGGGGTGCAGACGTGGGGTTTGTGGGGGGCGCACAGTGTCCTGGGGTGCAGACGCGGGGTGTATGGGGGCGCACAGTGTCCTGGGGTGCAGACGCGGGGTGTGTGGGGCACGCACGCCATCCTCGGGTGCAGATGCGAGGTGTATGGGGGCCACATTGTCCTGGGGTGCAGACGCGTGGTGTATGGGGGCGCACACTGTCCTGCAGTGCAGACGAGGGGTGTATGGGGGCGCACATTGTCCTGAGGTGCAGACGTGGGGTGTATGGGGATGCACACAGTACTGGGGTGTAGATGAGGGGTGTATGGGGATGCACACCGTCCTGGGGTGCAGACGAGGGGTGTGGGGGGTGCATAGTGTCCTGGGGTGCAGACGCGGGGTTTGTGGGGCGCACACTGTCCTAGGGTGCAGATGCGGGGTGTATGGGGCGCACACTGTCCTAGGGTGCAGACGATGGGTGTATGGGGGCGCACACCGTCCTGGGGTGCAGACAAGGGGTGTGTGGGGGGCGCAGTGTCCTGGGGTGCAGACGCGGGGTGTATGGGGCGCACACTGTCCTGCGGTGCAGACGCGGGGTGTGTGGGGGGCGCAGTGTCCTGGGGTGCAGACGCGGGGTGTGTGGGGCGCAGTGTCCTGGGGTGCAGACGCGGGGTGTATGGGGCGCACACTGTCCTGCGGTGCAGACGCGGGGTGTGTGGGGGGCGCAGTGTCCTGGGGTGCAGACGCGGGGTGTGTGGGGCGCAGTGTCCTGGGGTGCAGACGCGGGGTGTATGGGGGTGCACGCCGTCCTGGGGTGCAGACGCGGGGTGTATGGGGCGCACACTGTCCTGCGGTGCAGACGCGGGGTGTGTGGGGGGCGCAGTGTCCTGGGGTGCAGACGCGGGGTGTATGGGGCGCAGTGTCCTGGGGTGCAGATGCAGGGTGTGGGGGGCGCACACCGTCCTGCGGTGCAGACGCGGGGTGTGTGGGGCGCACACTGTCCTGGGGTGCAGACGCGGGGTGTGTGGGGCGCACACTGTCCGGTGCAGACGCGGGGTTTGTGGGGCGCACACTGTCCTGCGGTGCAGATGCAAGGTGTGTGGGGCGCACACTGTCCTGGGGTGCAGACGCGGGGTGTATGGGGCGCACACTGTCCTGCGGTGCAGACGCGGGGTGTATGGGACGCACACTGTCCTGGGGTGCAGACGCGGGGTGTATGGGGGCGCACACTGTCCGGTGCAGACGCGGGGTGTGTGGGGGGCACGTTGAGGATCAGGCACGCGGCGCCAGCAGGCGAGGGCCTGGCCGCAAGGGCCTGCGGAGTGAACGCTCTGCTTCGCCGCGGCCAGGTCCTGCACCGTCGTTGGCCACTTTGGGGTGGCCGCACCCCAGCGAGACGCCCAGCTCCACCTGCGCTAATCTGGGAGCGCCGTGCGGTCTCCCGCCCCTCCCTGCGGCCCCGCCTTCCTGCTCGGGCGGGCGCGAGCCAGGCCCGCCTCTCGGCGACCTTCCGGGAGGCGGGGGAGTGGGCGGTGCCTGGAGAGGCGGTGCCTGGAGGAGGCGGGGCCTGGAGGAGGCGCGGCCTGAAGGAGGCGGGGGGAGTGGGCGGTGCCTGGAGAGACGGTGCCTGGAGGAGGCGGGGGAGTGGGCGGGGCCTGGAGGAGGCGCCGGCCCTGCGCGGTCTGGCGGGCCCTCTTGCGCCGACATGTTGCGGCCGCGTGGGCCCAGCCGGGGCGCCCCGCTGCTGCGGGCGGCGCTGTGTCTCGGGCGGGCCGCGTCGGGTGGGCCTGCGGGCCGGGCGGCGAGCGGCGGGCGCGGGCGCGGGCGCGGTTGGGTTCAGCCCGCGGGCCGCGACACGGGCGTGCAGGTGTACAACAGCCGCACCGGAAGGAAGGAGCCGCTGGTCGTGGCCCGCGCGGACGCCGCCTCCTGGTGGGTCTGGGCGGCGCGGGCGGGCGGGCGGGCGCTGCGGGGACGGGGTGCCGACGGGGGCTGCGGGGCACCTGCCAGGCTGAGTCCTGGAGCCCGGCGCGCGGTCGCAGAGTGGTGACCTTAACGGCGGGAAGGGGGCGCTTACAGCCGAGCGTGTGCGAACGCGCTTCACAGGGTGGGTTTGACTCTGTCCCCAGGTACAGCTGTGGACCCACTGTGTACGACCACGCACACCTCGGCCATGCATGGTGAGTGTCCTGGGCTTTAGTGTTTCACTCCAAGGGCCTGTTTACTTCGGAAAGAGGAGCCTGTGTGCGTTTTCACCCCTCGGGTGGACCTGAGGGGCACTGAGTGAGTCGCGTGCCGGGTGCTGTGAGCAGGCGCGCTGCGGTCGGACCGGGGTCTCGGGTTTTGAGCGTCCATGCCCACCTATTTTTTTTAATTTTTTATATTTTTTTTAATTTTTGACAGGTAGAGTGGACAGTGAGAGAGAGAGAGACAGAGAGAAAGGTCTTCCTTTGCCGTTGGTTCACCCTCCAATGGCTGCCGCAGCCGGCGTACCGCGCTGATCCGAAGGCAGGAGCCAGGTGCTTCTCCTGGTCTCCCATGGGGTGCAGGGCCCAAGCACTTGGGCCATCCTCCACTGCACTCCCTGGCCACAGCAGAGAGCTGGCCTGGAAGAGGGGCAACCGGGACAGAATCCGGCGCCCCTGCCGGGACTAGAACCCGGTGTGCCGGCGCCGCAAGGCGGAGGATTAGCCTAGTGAGCTGCGGAGCCGGGGTCCATGCCCATCTTACAGATGAGGAATGAGACCTTGCTCTGCAGTGGAGCCAGGCATGGGCCGGCAGACTCGGTAGTGGTCAGGGCTTCTGGCCGCGTCTTCCGGTGGTGGAAGGGGTGAGGGTCCATCTGGGGTCTCTGGTGAGGGCACTGACCCCGTTCTGGAGCACAGCACCCTTGTGACCGGACACCTCCCAGGGCCCCGCCCGACGCCGTGGCCTTCCCGGGCACTGGGCAGTGGGGCCTGGGCTTCCCCGCTGCGGCTCCGGCGCTGGGAGGGACTCGCGGTGAGACCCGGGACTCAGCCCGCAGCGCTCTGTGTGCTGCCACGAGGGCGTGAGAGTGGGTGTGACGTCCTGCTGTGTGCGCAGGCCTTCTGAGGGGCTGGGACTGTCCTGTCCATTCAGGCCATGATGCACAGGTCGCTGACTGGGTGGGACCTCCCTGACCCGCCCGCACCCGTGTCGCCGCGCTCTGTGATGCCCCTGCTGGTGCGTGTGAGCATTTCGTGAGCAGGTGCAGTTATTCCTGGCGGCTGGGCGGCGGAAGGGCAGGGGCCAGCGCCGTGTCTGCTGCCCGAGAGCGGAATTTGAGCAGACCTGAAGGACGGACGGGGCTAGCTCAGTAGTAAGAGAGACCTCACTGTTTCCCCAAGAGGTCGTGGGGGTGCAAACCCTGGTTGGGTTCAACTGCAGGAGGCCTTGGTGGGCCACACTGGGGACACGCTGCGTTGCCTGGGCCAGATCATTCGGGTTTCCCAGGGAGGCCGTGGAGCAGCGGGGGAGGAGCTGTGGCGGCATCGAGACAGGCGTCCTGCCCACTGGATTGCGCGGGAAGGCTGCCACCCAGAACACAGCCGGCCGAGGGCCACAGCTTTGCAGAGGTGGTGCGGCGTGCGAGGCTCCCCGTGCCGATGCTTCTGACTTCCGTGCCGCAGCTCCTGCAGGTGTGTGCGTGTGTGCACGTGTGTGTGTGCGTGTAGACTGGCCCCTGCTGGGGTCACGGCCACAGCAGCCCCTGCAGGTGTGTGTGTGTCCACATGTCTGCGTGCGTGTGCGTGTAGACTGGCCCCTGCTGGGGTCACGGCCACAGCCGCTCCTGCAGGGGTGTGTGTGTGTGTGTGTGTGCATGAGTGTGCGTGTAGACTGGCCCCTGCTGGGGTCACGGCCACAGCCGCTCCTGCAGGGGTGTGTGTGTGTGTGTGTGTGTGTGCATGAGTGTGCGTGTAGACTGGCCCCTGCTGGGGTCACGGCCACAGCAGCCCCTGCAGGTGTGTGTGTGTCCACATGTCTGCGTGCGTGTGCGTGTAGACTGGCCCCTGCTGGGGTCACGGCCACAGCAGCCCCTGCAGGTGTGTGTGTGCACATGTGTGCGTGCGTGTGCGTGTAGACTGGCCCCTGCTGGGGTCACGGCCACAGCAGCCCCTGCAGGTGTGTGTGTGTCCACATGTGTGCGTGCGTGTGCGTGTAGACTGGCCCCTGCTGGGGTCACGGCCACAGCCGCTCCTGCAGGGGTGTGTGTGTGTGTGTGTGTGTGTGCATGCGTGTGCGTGTAGACTGGCCCCTGCTGGGGTCACGGCCACAGCAGCCCCTGCAGGTGTGTGTGTGTCCACATGTGTGCGTGCGTGTGCGTGTAGACTGGCCCCTGCTGGGGTCACGGCCACAGCCGCTCCTGCAGCCTCTGCCCTCTGACGGAGGCTCCCCGGAGCCAAGGCTGTGACGTAACTCTGTTCATTATTTCGGATTCTGTTCATTCAGCTCAGTCTGGTTTCAGGTTCCAGTTAATCTGGCTCAAATCTCAAAGGCCATAGTGCAGTAACAGAAGGAATGACTGGTGCCTATAGAATCAGCAAGGTTCTGTCCTGTGGGTCAGTGGAACTGTGCCTAACGTGTGAGTGGGCAGACAGGTTGAGGCCGGGGCCCACAGGTGAGGCTGGGAGTTCAGTAAGCCTGCAGCAGCTGGTTGTTATGTTGATCGTTTTGTTTAGCGGCAAGTGATGCTATGAGTATCCAGATGGCCCTTGGCAGGAGAAAGGTTCCCCACCCCTGCTTCCGTGCTCAGCATCTTGGCTAGGATTTTCAGAGGAATTAAAATTTCTTTGGTTGATTTACTAGAGAGACCAAGGCAAAGAATACCCTGTCCCTGGTTTTCTCCCCAGATGCCCACAGTGGCTGAGGCGGAGCTGAGCCTGAAGGGGGGAGCCCGCAACTCAACCCAGGTCTCCCCCCCAACCCCGCGGGCGGCAGGCACCACCTGCTGCAGCGGCGCTGCTGGAAGCCGTCAGCCGGGCGGGAGCCGGGCTCTCTGATAAGTGGGATGTAGGTGAGTCCTGCGAGGTCAGCACCTGCCCCCAAGGTAGCTTTGCCACTAGACTGTAACCTCAGTTAAGCATCTGAGGTGGGTGATGAGGGTGATATAATAGCCATAATAACATGGCTAGAATTTTTTTAAAGATTTATTTACTTGAAAGGCAGAGTTAGAAAGGGAAATACCTTGTGTCCACTGGTTTCACTCCCCAGGTGACTGTAACAGCTGGGGCTGGGCCAAGGCAAAGTCAGGAACCTGGAATTCTATCTGAGTCTCCCGTGGGAGGGGCAGTGGTCCAAGTACTTGGGCCGTCTTCTGCTGCTTTCCTAGGCGTATTGGCAGGGAGCTGGATCGGAAATGGAGCAGCTGGGACTCAAACCAGTGCCCACGTGGGACGTCAGTGCTGGCCCCATTCTTGAGATTTTTGAATCCTTTTGGTTTTCAGGGCCCGAGTGACCACAGTGCAGTGTATAAACAGAGTGGCATGCTAGTGTTCTGCTGCAGCGTTACATTCCCAGGACTAATCTACAGTTGTTTTTTTTAAAGATTTATTTTTATTTATTTGAAAGAGTTACAGACAGAGGGAGAGAGAGGTCTTTGATCTGCTGGTTCACTCCCCAAATGGCCGCAATGGCTGGAGCTGAGCCGATCCAAAGTCAAGATCCAGGAGCTTCTTCCAGGTGCAGGGGCCCAAGCACTTGGGCATCTTCCACTGCTTTCCCAGGCCAAGGCAGAGCTGGATCAGAAGTGGAGCAGCCGGGACTCGAACTGGCGCCCGTATAGGACACTGGCACCGCAGGCCATGGCTTTAACCCACTGCACCACAGTGCTGGCCCCTCTAACACCATTTTAATAAGACCGTACTTGTATTGTTAGCCACTTCTGATTTACCAGAGAAGTTGCAATGCTAGAACGTGACGGGGGTTTAAAAGCTCTCCATGTTTTACTACCCAGGGAAGTTGTAGTGTGAGTTTTTATACAACTGAGTAGACGTGAGCTCAGACAGCAGCTCTGAAATGAGAAGTGCTGTCCCGTGCCCTGACGCAGGTGCAGCAGCTGCTGGCGTGGCCAGCACCCCTGCAGGCAACGGCGTGGACTGTCCGTGCATGACCGACACGTGGGAGCGTGTGCACGTGTGAAGTGTGGTGTCTTCGAGAGTGAGGGTGATGACTGCGATGTGACGACGCCGTAGCCTTCTGTTGTTTTTTCTCCTTCCAGCTCGTACGTTCGATTTGATATAATTCGAAGGATCCTAACCAAGGTTTTTGGATGCAACATCGTCATGGTGATGGGTATCACAGATGTGGATGATAAAATAATCAAGAGAGCCAGCGAGGTAGGCCTGGAGCTGCGCTGCCCTGGTACTCCGTGGGTCGTGTTCTCCCCCCTGCCTGACGACTGCTCCCTGCAGGCACCACTGGTTCTCCTGCTGTGTTCCTGCGGGTCTGATGCCAGTGACAGGTTACCTGAGTGATCTCTGTTGTCCTGGTAACACTTCCCTGTTGAATGCGCTGCTTCACTCTTCAGTGGTCCGGCTCCGAGGGCCCTCCCGCTCCCGCTGAGGGAGGCGGGCGGCCGAGCCGTACTGCCTCTGCCTTTGTTTCTGTTTCCTGCTACCCTTCAGGCCTCAGAACAGCCCCTGTGCTAGGTGGAGAGGACCTCACTGCGCTTTTTAAAATACGGGTTGTATAAGGCTTTATTTATTTATTTATTTTCAAAGATTTATTTATTTATTTATTTAGCAGTCCCTGAGACAGAGAAAAGAGAGAGATCTTGCATCGATTGGTTCACTCCCCAAATGGCCACAATGGCTGGAGCCAGGTCAGTCTGAAGCCAGGAGTTTCACCCAGGTCTTTTATGTGGGTGGCAGGGGCCCAAGCACTTGGATCATCTTCTGCTTTTCCCAGGCCTTTAACAGGGAGCTGGATCAGAAGTGGAGCATCCAGGACATGAACCAGTGCCCACATGGGTGCTGGCATCGCCGGCAGCAGGGTTAACTGCTATGTCACGATGCTGGCCTCTTGTTTAATATTTTTAAAAAATACCTGAAATTGGGGCCGGCGCTGTGGCGGTGCAGGTAAAGCTGCCACTGCCTGCGATGCTGGCATCCACGTGGGTGGTGGCTGCCATTGGGTCCCGGCTGCTCCACTTCCTGTCCAGCTCCCTGCTAATGCACTAGGGAAGGCAGCAGAAGACGGCCCAAGTGCTTGGGCCCCTGCACCCACGTGGGAGACCTGGCAAAAACTCCTGGCTCCTGGCTTCAGACTGACCTGGCTCCAGCCGTCGCGGCCATCTGGGGGGTGAACCGATGGATGGAAGACCTCTCTTTCTGGCTTTCCCTCTCTCTTTGTCTCTGTAATTCCGCCTTTCAAATAAATCAGATTTAAAAAAAACAAAACAACTCTGAAACGGTGTCCAGTCTGGAGAAGAAGGCAAGGGCAGTGAAGTCAGTAATGCGCTTGCCTCTCCCACTCTGCCTGCGTGCGCACAGCTTCCACTGTGGTGCCCCATCCCGTCTGGCTTTTCAGTTTAAATTTAAAAAAATAGATGTTTTGTTTACTTGAGAAACAGAGAGGAAGAGATTGATTGATCTCCCGTCCACTGGGTCACTCCCCAAATGCCTGAAACATCTGGGTCTGGGACAGGCCAAAGCCGGGAGCTTGATCATCCCAGGTCTCCTGCATGGGTGCAGGGCCCCAGGGGTGAGCCAGCCTGCTGCCTCTCAGGGTGCACATTTTTAGGAAGCTGGAGTCAGGACTGAATCCCCGGCACCCCAGTATGGGGTGTGGGTGTCCCATGGGCGTCTTAGCAATGGGGCCGAATGTCCAGCCCCCATCCTGTCTGGATCCAGCTTGGTGCCCGGTGCTGCCTGGATCCTCTGTCATGTTTCTTCCCTTGTTTCACTGCCACCCTCTGCCCCTCCCCATCAGGAACCAGGCGTTGGTGCAGCCTGTGCTGTGGGGGGATGTCCACCCGCCAGGACCAGGCATTGGTGCAGCCTGTGCTGTGGTGCTGTGTCCTCCCCATCAGGAACCAGGCGTTGGTGCAGCCTGTGCTGTGGGGGGATGTGCACCCGCCAGGAACCAGGCGTTGGTGCAGCCTGTGCTGTGGGGGGATGTGCACCCGCCAGGAACCAGGCCTTGGTGCAGCCTGTGCTGTGGGGGGATGTGCACCCGCCAGGAACCAGGCCTTGGTGCAGCCTGTGCTGTGGGGGGATGTGCACCCACCAGGACCAGGCCTTGGTGCAGCCTGTGCTGTGGGGGGATGTCCACCCGCCAGGAACCAGGAGTTGGTACAGCCTGTGCTGTGGTGGGATGTGTACCCGCCAGGAACCAGGCCTTGGTGCAGCCTTGCTGTGGGGGGATGTCCATCCAGGCACAGCCTGGGCATCGGGACTGTGGCAGTACATCTCACTCAGGTCAGGAACTGGTGCAGCCTGTGCTGTGGGGGGATGTCCACCAGGCTGCAGGCCCCATCCGGGTGCTTCCATCCTTGCTAGCTCCTCCTCCAGGACCCCTTCTAGAACCCTGGTGATTTAGTGGTACCTGGGTCTCCTTCCACTTGTGATGGTTCCTCATTCCTTAAGTTTCCCTGTCTCCTGTCATTGATGGTTTCAAAGACAGGACTTTGATTTTGTAGGGTGACCCTCGTGGGTTGTTGGCTGTGTCTGTTCTACAGAGAGGTGTGGAGAGGCAGAGGTGTGTCGGTGACCCCCGTGGGTTGTTGGCCGTGTCCCTGTTCTGCAGAGAGGTGTGGAGAGGCAGAGGTGTGTCGGTGACCCCCGTGGGTTGTGGGGTGTGTCCCTGTTCTACAGAGAGGTGTGCAGAGGCAGAGGTGTGTCCTTGTTCTACAGAGAAGTGTGCAGAGACAGAGGTGTGTCGGTGACCCCCGTGGGTTGTGGGGTGTGTCCCTGTTCTACAGAGAGGTGTGGAGAGGCAGAGGTGTGTCTGCAGGTGGCACAGGCCTTCCAGGGCCTTCTGACTTCAGCCCTTCTGGGCAGGGTCCTGCAGGTGGGAATGACTCGGGCACTGTGCCCAGCAGCAGAAGAGATCTCTTTGCTGCCCAGCTGGCCCAGCAGAGTCTGCCCTCCCAGACCCGGGAAGGTGTAGGTGCAGCTGCCGTCAGGGGCAGCAGATGGGTGTCAGGGTGCTCTCCGGGCTCCCCCAGGTAGCTGGGGCACCTGCCCTGCTCACGGCCCCCTGCTGCAGGGCTCCTCGTGGTCCTTGGACGTGGCCTTTTTGACGGGATGATCTGACCCTGCAGGGGCCCCGTCCCTCGCTGTGCCTGCGGGGTGTCTGCCCCATCGTCGTCCTCTGGACCTCAGTCTTCTCAGTTCAGTGCAGCCTGCGTGGCATGGCGTCTCCTCATTGACGTGTCAGGTGCTGATTGGCTGATGAAATAAGTAAAGCTGACCTGATTTTTTTTTAAAGATTTTTAAAATTTATTTGAAAGAATTAGAGAGAGAGAGAGAGAGAGATCTTCCATCCCTGGTTCTCTCCTCAGATGGGTGCAGTGGCCAAGGCTGGGCCAGATGAAAGCCTGGAACCTGGAACTGCATCGGGTCTCACAGGGTGGCAGGGATCCAAGTGCTGAGCCGTCCTCTGCTGCGTTCCCGGGCGCATTAGCAGGGGCTGTACTGGAAGTGGAGCAGCCGGGCAGCACGCGTGTGGGGTGCCAGCATTGCAGGTGGCAGCTTAACCCATTGCGCCACAGCACTGGCCCTGACCTGCTTTTGATGTGAACGATAATTTTTTAGTCTTTGTAAGCCATTTTTAAAAATCCCGTCACATCAGAGTTGCCACCTCAACCGTTTCCAGGTGGCATTAGGTGCCTCACCTCGTCCTGCATGTGTCTCTGGAACTCATCTTGGAACCGGAACTCTGACCCACCCCTGGCAGCCCCCACGCTGCTCCCCGTCTCTGAGTGTGGCAACCTGGGAGCCTCCCAGGAATGACTGAGTTCCTGAGTGTCGTGGCCCCCGGGCTCCCCGTGCTATGGCGTGTGTCGGCATCTCCCTGTTAGGGGCTGCGTGGTAGTCACTGGCCAGCGTGTGGACGGGCCGCGTGGTCTCCATGCCTTCCTCACCCTTGGATATCTGGGATGCTGTCGTTCCACTGCTCGTTATAAAGTTTTTTAAAATTTCACTGATTTTCATTCTATTTGAAGGGCAGAGAGAGACACAGATCTTTACCCGCTAGTGTATTCCTCAAATGCCCACAGCGTGGGGGCTGGGCAAGGCTGAAGCTAGGAGCTGGGACAGTCTGAGTCTCCCGCGTGGTGGAAGGAGCCCAGGGACCTGAGCTGCCAGGGCACGCGTTAGCAGGCCGCTGGAATTGGGAGTGCAGCCCAGGCACGCCAGTGTCAGCGGGGCAAGCTTCCCACGTGGTGGCTAGCCGCGCGTCACATGCCGCGTGATGCCACGGGAGCCGCAGAAGCCATGTTGGAAGGGAGGGCTGGGTGTTGGGGCAGCGTCACTGTGGTCAGCCATGCCAGAGGATGTCTGTGTGTTCCCATGTATGATTGTATGCACACGTGTGTTCTCGTGTGTGTGTATGTGGTGGTTCCATTTAGAACCAGAGAGATTAATTTTTTTTTTCTTAAAAAAGATTTATTTATTTATTTGAAAGGCAGAGAGAGATCTTCCATCCACTGATTCATTCCCCAGATGGCCGCAATGGCCAGGACTGGGCCAGGCCAAAGCCAGGAGCCTGGAACTCCAGCTGGGTCTCCCACATGGGTGGTAGGGTCGACTTGGGCCAGCATCTGCTGCTTTCCCAGGTGCCTTAGCAGAAAGCCGGATTGGAAGTGGAGTCCCACTTTGGAAAACCTCTTTGTGAAGAGATTCAGAGGTACAAAACACTGGCGCCGGTGCTGTGGCGGAGCGCGTAAAGCCACGGCCTGCAGCGCTGCGTCCCCTGTGGGGGCCGGTTCGTGAGTTGCTGTGCAGAGAGAATCAGGCAAGTCAAGCAGTCACGGGTCTTCAGGTCCCAGATGGCACAGCGTTGGATCCAGGCAGGCCGCACGAAGACACTAGGCTTTGTTGCCCGCTCTTTGGTCCTCTGGATTTACGCGAGTTAGCTGATTTTTGGGCCTCCGAGCTGTGCCCAGCAGTGGGACGGTTCTGTGTGGAGCACAGCCGGCACTGGGCGCTGTCTCCGCTCTGCGCCTGTAACTCCTTTCAGCCTCGTCTTCCCCACCGAGAGCTGCACCCTCAGGGCAGCCGAGGGGTTCTTCGTGGAGGGAGTCGCCAGGTGTGCTGGGAGACGGAGCACTGATTTCCAGAGGCAGCAACACTTGGCTGCCTGTTGTCCCTGCCGGTGCTGGCGTCTGGGATGGTGCCTGGGCTGGGGGACATGGCCGCTGCCCACCCCCTCATCTCGATGAGAAATTTGAGGAAGTTCCGTCATGTGCCAGAGTGGAGATTCCCTCTGCCGTGAAACGGGAGTCCCATTTCACTGTGTGTGTGTGTGTGTGTCTACACACGATCACGTGTATGTGTGATCACGTGTGATATTTGTGCTCCTGCGCATGCGTGCACGAGTGTGTATGCGATCATGTGTGTGTGTTGTGTGTACACACATCTGTGTATGTGCACGTTGTATACATGTGTGAGTATACTGTGGGTGCTGTGTGCCCCTGTGTGTGCACGTGTATTCACGTGTGTACTGAGCAGTACACGTGTGTGTTGTGCACACGTGTATATGCATGTGCTGTATGCACATGCGTATACACGTTGTGTGTGTGTGTGGCGGGCCGGGGGCGAGTCTGGCACACAGGTGGCTGCGTCCGGAGGCTCGTGGCTTGTCTGGCGGTCCGCAGTGCGGAGCCTCGCCCCGTGTCAGGGCTGTGCCTGTCCCGTCTCTGCAGATGCAGATCTCCCCTGCTGCCCTGGCCGCTCTCTATGAGGAGGATTTCAAGCAAGACATGGCAGCCCTGAAGGTGAGCGTGTGGCCGCTGTCCTGCCGTGACACAGGGCGGGGGCGGCGGGGCCCCCTGCACCCCGGAACCGCAGACACACGGCCGTGTTCCCTGCTTCTGGCAGGTCCTGCCGCCCACCGTGTACGTGAGGGTGACGGAAAACATTCCTCAGATAATTTCTTTCATCGAAGGAATAATTGCCCGGGGGCACGCGTACTCGACGGCCAAAGGTAGGACTTCCGTCGTTGAGGCCGGGCGGTGGGTGACACCCGCGGCAGCGTGAGCCGTGGGCTGGGCCGGGCGTCCCGTCCTCGGCAGGACTGCGGCTTCCGCCGTGTAGTGTCTGCAGCCTTCCCCGGTGCTCCTCCTGCAGGCGCTCTCCACACTTGGAGAAGTGGTGTGGGAGGCCCGTCCTGGGGACCCCTTGGGCTCCGTGGTTGGTGTTCACCACGGTCGTCTTTCAGCTTTGTTTAGAAATTCTAGCAGGGGCGGGCAGTGTTAATAGGGTTAGGCCACTGCCTGCAGCACCGGCATCCAGTGGGCGCCAGTTGGAGTCCTGGCTGCTCCACTTCCGACCCAGCTCCCTGCTGGTGCGCCTGGGACAGCCGTGGAGGATGGCGCAAGTGTTTGAGCCCCTGCCAGCCATGTGGGAGACCCAGATGGAGTTCCTGGCTCCTTCGTGGCCATTTGGGGAATGAACCAATAGATGGAAGATGTCTCTGTCCCTCTGTGGGTCTACCTTTCAAACAAATAAATCTTAAAAAAAAAAAAAAAGGCAGGCAGGAATTCTCATAACAAAGAGTTGGGACAGAAGCAGGGCAGGCTGCTGCCTCTTGGTAGGGGCGAGCCCGGTCCCTCTCTGCGGTGCAGGGTTGGTTCATCTGGGAGGTAGCACGTCCCTGAATGGAAGGACCCAGCGTCGTCATCAACCCGAGACCGGCTCCGGGGCCTCCCTGTCCCTCTGCGGTCATTTGCTCAGTCACCCTCCAGATCTCCAGATGGCCCGCTGCCCCCTGCCTGTCAGGCAAGGCTGTGCATTCAGAAATACGCCTTTCTGGTCAGTCTCTGTGTGTGTCTCTTGCTCATTCATTTACTTATTTGAAGGGCAGAGACAGGCAGACAGACACAGACAGAGCTCTTGGATCTGTTGGTTCACTCCTCAAACGCCCGCAGCGGCCAGGGCTGGGGAAGGCCAAAGCCAGGGGTCCAGAGCTCGCTCTGGGTTCCCACATGAGCAGGGACCTGACTACTGAGCCATTTCCTGCTGCCTCGCAGGGTGCACAGAGGTGGGAGGCTGGGATTGGGGTGGAGCTTGGAGTGTCAGAGTGTCACCAGGCACTCGGATGTGGGACCAGGTGTCCCAGTGCTGTGCCAAACACCTTCCCCTTTAGTTCCTTTGATCTGCAGCAGTCTGCCCCCTTCTTCCCGTCCCTGTCCCCTTTCTAAGAGCCCGATCTGTTCAGTTGTCTTACGGACCCCTTCGTGTCCGGGTTTGTGCCGCCACTTCCTTCTGGTAAGCCTGGTGGCTCTGTCTTACGGCAGGGTAAGACTGGCATCCTGGCGTTAGGCCGCTGCCGTGGCTGGGCACTGAATCCGCTGTACCTCTCTTTCCTCGTCTGCCATCTAAATCCTCCTACCCGTTAACCGGAGACACATCTCCCCGTGAAGGTCGCACTGTTTGCTACCGCCGGTGATGTCTGCCTGGACCGTGCACCCGGCGGCCGGTGCTGTGCTGCCGTAGTTTGCCTGGCGACCTGCTCAGGTTTTGTCCCAGCTGGACGAGGAGTTCTCAGGCCAGAGAAACCTTTCACGTTACTGGAGGCCCCAGCCCAGGGCCACGGGTGTGCAGCTGCTGACATCCTGTGTAAATCGCCAGGCTGTGTGCCCCTGGCTGCCATGAGTCCTGTCCCGGCACTCGAGAGGAGGGTGAGGGACCCTCACACGCAGCCCGTGTGCCTGGGCTGCCGCGCGCGCTGTCGGTACCGACTGGAGCCTGCGTCTGCAAGCGCTGGGTGACTGGTCTAACTTGAGGCATGACGTGCAAGGACGCGGCTGGGTGCTGGGCGCTCACCCTGTGGCTTTAGCAGTGGCCCTGCCAGCTCACTGCCGTGGCTCGTCACACATTTCAGTGACAGTGTAACTACTTCAGAGCACACTCACATGCACCCAGACGCCAGCAGTTTGGACTCTGCGACAACTCCACAGGGACTTGGCTGTAGTTGACCTTTGAACTGATTGTGGAGTGGTACCACGCACGCGAGGGACCCTGTTCCTGCCACCTCCGGTGGTCTCTGTCATTCCTGCAGAGCTCGCGTGGGCTTAGCAGGCAGCAGCACGCGTCCAGCTCAGCACGGGGGAGTCCCACCCAGGGGAGAGCGCCTGTCCAGGTCTCCGGGTCCGCCTGCCCCTTGTCCCCCTCAGTGAGCCCTTCCTGGGGAGCCTGTGGCGTCCCCGGTGCCAGTGCAGAGCCTCCTGGGTCCTACGGTGACTCAGTGCCAGTGTCCCCATTAAGGCAGCACAGGTAAGAAGTAGTGACTGTGCTCATGAACGTGAAGACTGTTTTAAACTCGAAAGCTTCAAAGTTGCACCCTCACTTGGGCCCTTGAGGTGGCTGCGTGCGGCTCAGTGGCTGCTGAGTGACGGGCTGAGGTCTGACATCCATCCCCACAGCCTGCACGTGCACCCCCTGCCTCAGGGAGCAGGGCTCCTGCCCAGAACCTGGTCTGTCAGGGAGAGGGGGGTGACAAGAAGCCCCGGGACAGGCTTCAGTGAGCACGTCCTGTCTCAGCAACCTCACATCTTTTAAAGGGCAGGCAGAGGGGCGTAACTGATTCAGAGTGACACCAGCTATAGGACAGAACCGACACTGGCGCCAGCATGCCTCTCCGGTCAGTTTGCAGGTCATGTAGCTAGTAGGGTAGCTTTCCAGGTGGGCCTGGGCCACACCCAGGAGCAGTTTACCTGATTGGCAGAAGGCTGGGGTGGGGGGAAATGTGCCTGGGGCTCCCGCCACCTGCCAGCAGCTGGGCAGCGGGGTCCCTCCTGGGAGGCGTGGTACGCCATGGCCTCTCCACCTCCTGCGAGGGCAGGCACCAGCCTCACGGGGTCACCCGCTGCTGTGCCTTCTCAGGGCTGTGGGCTTGCGCTTCATAGTCGCAGGTGGCCCCGGTCAGCCCCGGCTCCACAGTGGCCCTGGCAGGGGTCGTCCTGCCTCAGTCTGGAGTGCGTGCCGCAGCCTGTGGGCATCCCTGGAACTTGCTGGGAGGGTCGTGGAGTCCAGCCCAGACCAGGAGGGGCTCTGAGAAGATGCCTGGAAGGGGCCTCGGTGCCGTGGGTGACTTGGGCCTGGCCTGAAGCCCGAGAGCCGCAGGAGGCCGGTGGGTCGGGCAGTGCACCCGCTTTCCTGCTCCTTGTTGGAAAGCGGCGTCTCCACAGTTCACAAAGAACTCGGGGCCGTGTTTGCACGTCTGTGCTTCGTGCAGTGCCACATTGCGTTTTCTAGAATGTGCTGCTGGAGTTTATAGCTGGTTTAGCAGCGCTGTAAGACGGAACCAGTGCAGGCCAGATGCAGCTTCTGTGTTTAAATTCTGATTCCTTGTTTGGGGTTGCGCTTGCACAGAGGTTGCTGTCTCAGCTGAGCAGCTGCGAATCTTGATCCCCTTTGTAAAACAGGCAACGTCTACTTTGATCTGAGGTCCAGAGGAGACAAGTACGGCACACTCGTCGGTGAGGTCCCCGCTCCGGCTGGAGAGCCAGGTGAGTTGGCACGGCCCCTGCCTTGCCCCTCAGGTTCTGGGGAGGGGGATCTGGAAGCAGGCCTCCATTCATTCTGATGTGGTGACACTGGGCATGCGCCCACCACAGCCGTGCTTGAAATGTAATCCTGTGTCTCTGAGAATTGTAGAGTATGACGGGTCTTCATAAAGTTCATGAAAAGTAGGTTTTTTTTTTTTTAAAGATTTGTTTATTTATTTTTGAGGCAGAGGCAGAGAGAGAGAAAGGGAGAGGGAGAGAGAGGTCTTCCATCTGCTGGTTTACTCCCCAAATGGCCACAGTGACCAGAGCTGTACCAGTCCAAAGCCAGGAGCCTGGAGCTGCTTCTGGGTCTCTCACACGGAGACCCAGATGCTGGGTCTCCCAGCACATGGGTGCTGGGGCCCAAGGACTTGGGCCATCTTCTGCTCTCCCAGGCCATAGCGGAGAGCCAGATCAGAAGTGGAGCAGCCAGGCCTCAAACCAGTACCTATGTGGGATGCCGGCATTGCAGGCAGTGGCTTCACCACTACGCCACAGCGCCAGCCCCGAAAAGTAGGTTTTTGAAAAACCGCGTGAGTTTCAGAATTTTTAACACCAAAATAAACTTACCTTTATTTATGTGAAAGGCAGAGTGACACATAAAGGAAGAGAGAGAGACAGAGATCTATCCACGTGCACCTGACAGCGGGCCGGGGCTGGGCCGGGCCAAAGCCGAGAGCCAGGGTCCCCATCTGGGTCTGTACGTGAGAGGCAGGGAATCAGGTACTTGGGCTGTCACCGGCTGCCTCCCAGGGCTGTTGGCAGGAAGCTGGGTCAGAAGCAGAGAAGCTAGGCCTGGAACCAGGCACTCTGATGTTGGACGAGGGTATCCGTACCCCAAGCGGTGGCTTAACCCACTGTGCTGTGATGCCTGTCCTTTTGTCTTTTAGTGTTATTATTATCAGGCGCAGAGAAAGAGAGAGAGCTCCCATGTGCTGATACACTCCCCAAATGCCCACAACAGCTGGGGCTGGGTTAGGCGGAAGCCGGGTGTGTGATCCAGTCTCCCGTGTGGGTAGCTGGGGCCTATCCACCTGAGCCATGGCTGCTGTTTCACAGGGTGTGCGGTCGTGGATAGCTGGAATTGGGGCACCATGGTCGCTGTCTCACAGGGAGTGTGGTCATAGCTGGAATAGGAGCACCATGGTCACTGTCTCGCAGGGTGTGTGGTCATAGATAGCTGGAATTGGGGCAGTGCCATGGTCGCCGTCTCGCAGGGTGTGAGGTCGTGGATAGCTGGAATTGGAGCAGTGCCGGGACTGCACCCAGGCTGCCAGATGGGATGCGGATGTCTTCACTGGCATCTTAGTGGCAAGGCCAGATGCCCACCCCGAAGCTGTTCATTCCATTTCCCGTGACTTTATGAAGTTCCTGCAAATAAACGTTAACCAGCAAGTAAAATGTCTTCCCGCGTGCGTCTGCACTGCACTCTCTCCCGGCAGATGGGCGCTCACCGGTTCTCTGTCCCCTTCCCGAGTTGTGCTTTGTGTGCACGCGCAGCGGGGTGTCGTGCTCTTCCGTGTCCCGACTTCCCAGCCTGTGTCAGCAAGTCGTCATGCCACACCTTTTTCCATGGAGAAGCGATAATAAATGTGGAGGACTAAGTTGGAAACAATTTTCGGAGGCTACGATTTGAGGGAACCAATCAAGAGTGACAGGCAGAAACCCCAGAGACGGGGTCCTGGGTCTTTGTGGACAGTATTTGGACAGGTGCTGTCTCCGTGTCCTGTGAGCTGTGCAGTGGGAGCCCAGCTGTCAGTAGCGGCCTGGGTCTGACTCTGCCACCCCCACCCCCACCCCGGGCTGGGACAGAAACCTCGGGATCTCCATGCGCGGGGCCTCACGGAGGCAGAGGTGCTCCTGAGAGTTCTGTGTCCTGGCATCAGCAACAGTTTTTATTCTTTTTTTTTTTTTTTTTTGAGATTTTTATTTATTTATTTGAGAGGTAGATTTACAGAGAGGCACAGAGAGAAAGGTCTTCCATCCATAGTAGCCAGAGCTGGGCTGATCTGAAACCAGGAGCCAGGAGCTTCTTCCAGGTCTCCCGTCCTGGTGCAGGCACCCAAGCACTTGGGCCGCTTCTGCTGCTTTCCAGGCTGTAGCAGAGAGCTGGATCGGAAGAGGAGCAGCCCGTATGGGATGCTGGGGCGCAGGTGAAGGCTTAGCCCACTGTGCCACAGTGCCGCCCGTTTTTATTCTTTTTAAACATCTTAGCGCCACTTTAGGCTCACAGCAAAACTGAGTAAGGTAGAGATTTCCCTACATTTGCCATGGATACCCCGTCCTGTACCAGTGGGTCTGCCTGTCACAGGCATGCTAGAGCTGGCCCCAGAGAGGGCTGGACACAGGTACCAGGACGTGGTGCCCACCTTCCCAGGAGCACCCGCGCTAACTGCACTGCCCTCACTGCCTGCTGGGCTCCGCCTCCTCAGCCCCGGCTCCCCGGAACCCTAGCACCCCCGACCTTGCGGCCTGCTGCAGACTGTCCTGTGGTGGCCTGGTCCAGCGGCAGCCTCCGCACGCCAGCGTCTCAGGCTGAGTCGTGTGCATTTCCGTTTGCTGCATGTTCCCTCGGGGTCGGACGGCTCGCCGGGGCGCCCTAGCCACCTCTCCCTGTTCCCCATGCGGCAAGCTCCGGTCTTGAGATCTCCCACTGCCCAGCCCGCGGGGTGCTAGGCTGCTTCGCCTGTCTGCTCCCTCTCCCTTAGCGGGGCCCCCCAGGCTGCTGGACTTGTGAGAGGACAGCGCGTGGTGTGGGGAGAGAGGAGAGTGTGGGAACAGAAACGGGAGGCGCCTAGAGGAAGGAGGTCTGGGGCGGGTGTCACCGTGGCCGTCGTAGGACCCCTCCTGCTGACTCCTCTCGTTGCTGGCAGCTGACTCCGACAAGCGACAAGCCGGGGACTTCGCCCTGTGGAAGGCGGCTAAGCCCCAGGAGGTGTGCTGGGCCTCGCCGTGGGGCAGCGGTAGGCCCGGCTGGCACATCGAGTGCTCCGCTGCCGCCAGGTAGGTTCTGGGGCTGCTTGTGTGTGTGTGGCGCCTGGTACGGCTCAGCTGGGCCCACAGAGCAGGCTGCTGGGCGGCAGGGCCGTGGGGTGCGTGAGCTGCAGGCGGGAAGCGGCCAAGCCCGGGACATGCTGCACTTCCAGATGTCAGCAGCTCCTCGTTTTAGTGAACGAGGCCACTCTAGGTCAGGCATGAGCTGCGTGTTGGACCGGCAGGTGTGCCTCCGTCTCCTCTGTAGCTGGCCCCAGTGTGCCTGTGCCTGAGGGCCGGGGGCCAGCCAGACCACTGGAGCTGGAGGAACCTTGGCCGGGCTGTGGCACCTTCAGAAACCTGTGTTTCCAACCATTTTAGGAAAAGGGCACATACCCACATCCTCAGTGCCCCTGTGGAGAGAGCGCCACCCAGGTCTGTGCTGCTGGGGCCAGCAGGTGCCCAGGGGACGGAGCCCCCTCACTGCCTGGTGGGAGTGCCGGGTGTGCGGGACCGGAGGCCGAGCCGCTGCGCAGCCTCAGTGCAGAAGCGGTGGTGGCTGAAGTGTGCTGCCTTCGAGTCCTTCCCCGACACTCCTGTGCTCGGGGCCTGCACGGGCTTGTGAGTGCATGTTACGAAACAGCTGTGCACGGTCGTGAACACTTTTTCTTTTCCTTAACTGGACCACCTAGTTAAGTGTTTATTTTCATCTACTTGAAAGGCAGAGTAACGGAGAGGTTCACTCCCCAGGTGTTTACAGCAGCTGGGAGCCAGAGCTCGGTCTGGGTCTCCTACGTGGGTGGCAGGGTGCCAAGTACTTGAGACATCTGCTGCTTCCCAGGGTGCATTAGCCGGGAGCTGGGTCAGAAGCCGAGGGGTCAGGACTTGAACTGGGAACTCTAGTATGGGGTGCAGGCCCTTAGTCCACTGTGCCACGAGGCCCACCGTCATAGCGAGCTTTTAGTGCTGCTTTCCATGGACTTTTTGAAGTATCCTTATACGATCACTAAGTAGTAAGTTTTCAAAAGCCAAATGAGAAATTATGGTTTCACCGTTCTGTCTCTTGTTAAAGTTGGAAAATTAAGTTCCAGCTATTCAAAGTGAGAAATAATTGTTTTAAAAAACCGAATGTTGTGTCTGAAGCAAAGAGAACTAAGTCTAGTACAAGCCGCTGTGGATTGGGGATTTTACGATGAAGGAAAAGATAAGATTTGAGTTTTCACGTGAATCAGATCAGTTAAGTGATGCCAGTTGACCTGGCATTTAGATCCATTTATTCGCACCTCGGAGCGGCCGGGTGGGTAGGCTGGTCCTGTGTCGTGTGGCTGGGCTGATTCGCTGTCCGCCGCTGTGCCATGCAGCTTGGTGTTCGGAAGTCACCTGGATATCCACTCTGGCGGGATCGACTTAGCCTTTCCACACCATGAAAATGAAATTGCTCAGAGTGAAGTCTTCCACCAGTGCGGCCAGTGGGGCAGTTACTTTCTGCACTCGGGTAAGTGTGTGCCGTTTGGCCCTGTCCCTTCCCGTCACTGGGGAACAGCAGCTGCTGGAAGTACCTGGATCAGCCAGGAGGTCAGGAGACGGGTGTGTGCCTTCATTGGTTTTAGACAATCTCGCAGGCAGGTCCAGACTTCCGGAACATGGTGCGGGGTCGGACTTAGAATGTTTAAACTGTGCGTGGTGTCAGCAGTCGAGGTGGTAGTGTCTTTGGCGGGCATGTGTCCGCCAGTTTTCACCAAGACTGGCCGTGGAGCACCTTGCGTCTGAGTCGGACAGAAGCAGAGGGAGACTGCTCTGTGGGGAGCAGCCGCAGGGCCTCCCTTGGAGATGGGCCATGTGGGACCACAGTCCGGGACGGACTCCAGCCCAGGGTGTCCCGCACTGAGCTTGGTCCTCCTCTTGTCCTTCACCACGGGGGCCCAGTTACGGCTGTGAGTGCCACCACAACAGAAGACCCAGCTAACGGCACTCAGAGGCCGGCACCCTCTGGCTGACAGCGTGAGCTTGTACCTGGG